TCTATGTCAGGGTTAGCCAACAATACATATGCAAACTGCTATGATTGTGTTGGACACACGCATAGATCCGTTGGGAGAGTAATTTTCGCTCTCTCGGTACAGATCGTCTATGTTAAAGCATTGCAAAGCATACGACATGTTCGATGTCGAGAATAATGTTGAGTTCGAACACAGAACTGTGATTGTATTGGTACTCTCCCAAAGCGCCCACGGGCGCCTGTTTGGAGAACAGTGCTCTATGTGTTTGGTTGATTGTTGTGTGTTCGTGTGAGTGTGTGGGTTTGTTTTCGTGTTGTATTGTTTTGGCGCTTCTAGTGGTTGTCATTGTGTTGTGTCGTCGTCGTCGCCATGGGTGCCATTGTGGGCTCAACCATTTCCAATTGTCGCGCTTGAGTAAACATATAGCCAACAAACGCCATTCGATAGTGTTGCCGCGTCGCGTATCGTCGTTCGTCAACATCATCACGATATTGTAGTGTTCGTTAACTATAGTGTTGTTGTTGTTGTCTTTGGCTGCATTTGTTCATTCACACAATTGTAGTGTAATTGTTGTTTGTTTGTTGTGTCTTCTTCTGCAAGTCTTTTGATGATAAAAATTTAATTTTTTTGGTTTCTTAGAATTGTTTTCGCCATAACTTTGATCTCAATTGTGTGAAAAATGAAAGAAAACTAAACAGTGGAAAAATAATAAAAAGGAAAAAAAGAATTATTAAAAAGAAAATGAAATTATCAACAGCGAGTTTTATAATGAAGTTATAAAAGCAAATTCCTACATGATACAAACTACAAAAAATATATATACTTTAATAAATACCTATATAACAAGTAACAATAACAAAAAACAACAAAATAAATTTAATGAAGCCAATAAAGTGCTGCCACCGTATCTTTTTTTACAAATGAATATTTATTGCAATGTAATGTGAAACATTAAATGAAAATAACAGTAAAAAAATAATAATTTTATTTTTTACTTTCATGCTTAATTAAATTTAAGGTGTAAAAAAATAATAAGTGTTGATATACCCCTAAATATCTATATAACTAGTTGATGAAATTAAATGTAAAAAAATTACTCTATTTTGTTAATAATAAAGGAAATAATAATACTAATAACTTAAACAGTGTATTCAGAAGTGTGAAACAAAATATTACATTTGGAATCAGCATCAACGTTGTCAAGAACGAATTGGATTTTGAAGTGAACAGCCTAAGAAAGGATTTATGGAAAGTAAGTGAAAAACAATAATATCACTATTTAAAATAATAATAAATATATAATAATAAAAATAATAACAAATACGTTAATACGAAATAACAAATAAATAAAAATCAATACCTATGAAAAGACTCTGATCAATTGATACTCTTCATGGGTATTAATGGACCTGAAGCTTCCTATAACCTACATCAAATACGAAGGCTTCGGTTTTAAAAATGCTGGTGCAATGAATTGATTTCTAAGAAATCAACAAATAAAATAACAAAAAATAAAACAATTTACGATTCGCAAAATAGAAAGAAAACTAATTAAGAAAAATTGTTCTTTTGGGGAAACCCGAATTATCAGCTTTTGTATTTGAACTTGAAAGTTTCCGTATTTTCAGAACTATTACAAAAATTTCAATTTCTAAGAACATATTTTGATAATGGAAAGTCTAGAATGTTGAATGTTATATATCATGTGTGAAACCATACAAATTAAATATTTAAAATATACGAATATCCAATATACACTGGTGGCGAAGTGAATCATCCCGTCTTTCAACACGTTTGTATAAACAATCCGATCCATTAATTCATAAAGCTCGTAAAAAGATCATACACCGTAAAAAGAAAAACAGTCCAATGCCATTATTGACCCGGCTGCACGCTTGCCAGTATCCTTGCAATGATTGCGTGATTCTTTCTGTTTTAGGCCTTCTCACCACAAATTTGTTCGCGCCTGAGCCTTAAATATTAAATTTTAATTCATCCGAAAATATAATATTTCTCCACTGAGTCGGTTTTCTTTCTGTTTTAGGCCTTCTCACCACAAATGGGTATTTTGTATTGCTAAGGTGATTAGTTTTGTCCAACTAATATGCTTTCCAAACGCTATCATACTTTTAAAATGAATTTTGCATTTATGCTTTTATTTTTTTAAGTGAATAAAGGACTCCCTTTAACTGTGAATACGACATGTTTATTTTTGAAAATGTTATACGGTATTTATTATCTTTTCAATTTTAGTTCCATTAGTTTTGGCCACCCGTATATCTATATCTGAATGCTGACACAATTTGGTAATTTATGAGAAATTTCGTATCCATCGGATTGGCAAAAGTTATTGGGCCATGAAAAATATGACCTTAAACATTATAACATCTAAAATTCTAGCTGTTCTTGAAAAATATACCTCAAATTTCTACTAAAAGTTCAAAAATCGTCTTTGAAAAAATTTAATATGAAATAAAACCAGTAAGGAAAGTAGTATATTCTACATATGTATCCTAAAAGACGTCGCATTTTCGAAGGAACTTTGATATGAAATTGAACGAACTTAAATATGTGATCTTTATCTAAACCGACTAACACTATTTATTATTTGGTTTACAATTAACATGAATAAGTCAAAATTATATATGGAAGCTATGCTACATATATTTGAACCGATTTCAAGGAAACTTGCCAGAGATTCATTTATATTAACTTAAGTACGTTGTGTCAATCGGCCTAGCTATGGATCTTTAGTGCACCATTTACTTAAAATCGGACGAATCTGAACCGATTTTCAGGAAACTTTGCACACGTCATTCTAAACTTAATTCTGTACGCTATGCCAAAATTCGTTGAAATCGAATAATTTTCAGGGACTTTGGTGCACCATTTACCTAAAATCGGGCGAAACTATATATGGGAGCTATATCTAAATCTGAACCGATTTTCTCAAATTTCAATAGGGTTCGTCCTTGGGCCAAATAAGTGACTTGCGCCAAAATTCATCCAAATCGGATTATAAATGCGATCTGTAGTTTGTTTACAAGTTAACATCAACAGATGGAAGTGGTTCTATGCATATTCTTAAAAGTAACCATGGGTCTATCTCGATTCTATTATTTCCACAACTGATAACAAATTTCATGATTCGAGCTCTATAGGTTCACCCAATTGTTAATTTTACCAAATTTAGTACCATTTAGTACACATTAATTTAAATCCAATAGAAATCATATTTCCCAATACCACCCCGATCGCTTCACACAAACATAATTGTACCTATAACACATTAGTACTAATTTCCTCAACTTCTTACATACCCCAATCCTATATTTCAACATTAAACTTAATTCCAAATTTCAAGATTCCATCTGTATCAGTTCACACAAATCCACATTTGGTAACATTTAGTGCACATTTGTACAAATTTCCAAAAATACATACATTCCCCGTTCATACACACCAACACTTATCTTAACACAAAATTTCAGTATTCCAGGTTTATTTATTCAACCAAAATTCAAATTTTACAAAATTTTGCTACACATAAGTACAGATTTTCAAAACTACATAAATCATACAACCTGTGGAAATCTTATTTTTCGATATCAAAATTCTAGCCTTTTCGGTTCACACAAACAAAATTGTATCTAATTTAGTACACATTAGTGCGAATTTCCAAAACTTTTTACCCCTCAATTTTACAGTGATCCTAACATAGAATTTCAAGGCTCCAGTTCTATCGGTTCACTCAAATCCAAATTTGGTACCATCTAATACGTAGTAGAAATATCCAAAACTTCCTACATAACCCAATCCTACATCCCTACACATGTCAATCCAAACTTCAAATTTCAGGATTCCAGCTCTCCCAAAAATTTAAATTGTACCAAATTTAGTACACATTTGTACGTAATGTAATATCAGTAGCTATAAGTATGAATTTTCAAAACTACATCAATACCCCAATCCTACACTCCAACAGTAATCATATTTCCTTATTTCAGTGTTCAGGTCTATCGATTAATCCACATCCAATTTGTACTAATTATAGTACGATTTAGTAATTTTCGTGCAATAAGTAAATTTCCAAAACAACGTAAATATCCTGATTCTATATTTATACTAGGTAGGTAATATTAATTTCAAATTTCAGCATTCCAGCTCCATCCGTACCTTCAAATTAAAATTGTACCAAATATAGTACGATATAGTACTTTTCGTGTACATGAGTACACACTTCCAAAACCATATCGATCCTACATCTCAATCACATTTACTTCTTCGTAGTACTTTTCGTAACGTTCTATTAAAAAATTTCCTAAAACCCAGCCTTATCTGACACCTTCTGACCTCACCTCAAAATTTCAATATAGTTATGATTAATCAATAATTTTTAGCCCATTTTGATCTTAGAGTTAATTTTTTCCAATTTTTTTTCTTAAATAACTCATATCCATATTTTTCTTTCAGGTTCATTCAAGCAAATATCACCATCATTAGTTATGTTGTTGTCCCAAATAGAAATGGACAAAAATCGAATTTAACAAAAAAAGAGTAAAAACCAACAACAATGTAAAAGTGTAAAGAGAAAAATTTCTAAAAACAACAACAAATCAATGACGTTCTAGTTACCACATTAACTGTGCAACTCAACATTTCAAGTCATATGTGTGCCTATCTAAATAGAAAACAAACCGTGGAGAAAACTCAACGATTTACCGGTGATAGATATAAACGAACGAGACTAACGACGAACGGCAAAGTGGACTACGACCAAATAACCCACTTTTACAAAATGCAAGAAGTTTGCACCACGCTGGAAAGCCAAATGGGCGCACAAATCAAATCCGAGTCACCGTTAACCGCCATGCAAGTGCAGACTGGTCAGACGACAATAGTGCCGGGAGCAACGCCACAGGTGCAACAACAGCATCAGCAACAACAACAGCAGCAGCAGCATCACCAACAGCAACAACAACAAAATCAAGTGGCAGTAACTGCTGCTACTATGATTGCAAATAAAATGGGACCAAACTGTGATAAGCGTAGCATTGGACCAGCAGGTGGTCTAGTGCCGGTGGGTGTTGGTGGCAATCCCGAGGCACCATATTGGATGACAGCTTCCGAGGGGGGTTTCATAAATTCCCAGCCATCAATGGCTGAATTTTTGAATCATTTGAGTCCAGAAAGTCCCAAAATTATGGGTGGTGGTGCGGGCGGCGGAAATGGCAGTGGAGGTGTAACACCCGTCGGTGGCGTAGGATATCCGGTTGGTATTGGTATGCCACAGACACCAGATGGTATGGATTCGGTGCCGGAATATCCATGGATGAAAGAAAAGAAAACATCAAGGAAGAATAGCAACAATAATAGTCAAGGTAAGTGGAAAGATTTTGAATTTGAAAGAAAAAAAAAACAAAAACAAAATAGGACAAATTATACGAAAAAAAAAAACAATCGGGATGAACGATTGTTAAATGAAAAAAAAAGATTATTGTTAACATACTAATCGACCGCACACACACACACATTGCCTTTGACTTCAAACATTGTCTGATGAAGAGCCGCATCGAATTGAAAATGCAAAAATCTCATTAATCACACGAATCAGTGCAATTTGTTTTTGAAGAAAAAAAGGAATGAAAACAAAAAGAACAGAGTAATCGAAGTGAAAGAACCATGAACAACAATCGTACCACTAAACTCTTTTAATGCGGAACAAACAAAACAAACGTGGCAAATTATCAGATGGCGCCACATTTTCTTTTTTTTTATTTTTAATAATTTTTTTATTTCAAAATAAATTACAAAAATAAACAAAAAGTAGTAAATGGTACTCTATTCAAAACAATTTCGATTTGGGTGAACCAATAGAGCTGGAACATTGAATTTGGAAATAAGATTACTACTGCATTGTAGAACTGATGTATGTGGGCAGTTTAATGGTACTAAATTTTGT